TTGTAGTACGGCTTCTCTCCCCTGAGAATTTCATGATGGGGCGGCCTACCAACACCATATACCCACAGGCGCCCAGTCCGGGGGGGGGAATTCTGGGATTTGAAGTCCATATGTCTTAAAGTTGCTAAAGTTAAGAAACACTGGGCTAAGGAATATACTGCTTTGCCATGTCATGGTTAAGAAGGTAGCCCTCCTCACTGTCTGGGCTTTGCTGGGCAGCTGGGATACTTTAAGCAAGTCACTAGTCCTCACTGTCTTCTTTTCTTACAGGAATCCCACAAAAGCCCCAAATCTCTGGTTACTCAGGTCCTCTTAGGGAAGGAGATGTGGCTGTGTTGACATGTGCCTCTTCTGGCAGCAAGCCAGCTGCTCTGCTCAAATGGAAGAAGGGTGATAAACCCTTGACAGGTAAGGAGTGAATTTGCTGTTTAAGAACCTAAGAGGGATGTTGGATTGGACAATCTTGTTCTGTGTTTCAACCTTGGCCACTTGAAGATGTGTAGACTTCAGCTCCCAGAATTCCCCAGCCAGCGTGCTGAGGAACACTGATCTAGTTTGTTCCCAGGAATAGTCAGTGCTTTAGTGAAGTCTTCATAGAACTGAGAGAGATTCCTCTACCATCCAGTATTCAGAGATAGACTGCATTTAAACATGGAGGCACAGATGCTAGGGTAAAGTTTTCCTCTCTGATTTGGCTCCCTCTTTCTTTAAAGCCTATTAAACCAGTGGCCCTTAACATACAGTATCTTGTTGCTAGGAGATCTCTAAGTTAATTATCTCTAAGTAGTAGCAAATTACATGCCAATAAATAGCCACTTATTTTGTTATGTGAGAGTTTAGAGGACACCCTGCAGGGCTCAAGTTGCCTAAGATTTCTTAATTTTAGTCATATTCATGGACCCTTGCAGTCTTCTAAGAAGTCATGCACACAAACAAAAATTGAGTTGTCTTGTTCCTTCTTCCCTCCCTATCCATCTTTCCTTTTATATGGCATTTTTCTAAACTGTAATCTTGAGATGGCTTCATGATAATGATGGAAGATGAAGATGAAGATGATGATGATGATGATGATGATGATGATGATGATTCTACTGCAAGCTACTGGGAAATATAGAGAGGGGGCAAAACAAGCTTTTAATAAATAAATGTCACTCTTGTAATGTTGAGTCCTGATTCCTCAGGCAATAGAAAATCACTGGATTAGATCATTGTTCCATCGATTCAAAGGCAGATGATAAGCTGAACTTTGTCAGTCAGAAACTACTTCCAAAGTGGCCACTTCTGGAGAAATCATCTAAGCATTGTCTACTTTGCTCCAGAATCTTAAAGGATGCATTTTCATGACCTTTATAGCAAAGTCATTCTGCCTCTCATCTCCTTTTGCTACATCCCCCAAAGCCACCAATCATGGTTTGATTTCTCTCCCAAACAGGCCAGTCTTTGGAAATGTCCAAAGATGCCAACGGAAAGACGTTTACTGTCACCAGCCAAGTAGAATTTACAGTTGGGAAAGAGGATGACGGTGTGGATGTCAAATGCACAGTTGATCCTTCTTCTCAGCAAATCTCCGAGAAATCCACCTCGCAACGCATATCTGTCTTTTGTATGTGACTGTGGGCAATGGAGGGAGGCAGGGGAAATGCATGCAAATAGACCTTTCCGGATGATGCTAGAAGCCCGTGACTTATTTTAAAGACTTACAGATTCATTATGGTATCTAAGGCTACCATATTGGGGTGGCAAAACTTTGGATGACCACTAGAGGACAGTAAAGAGATATGGAAAACACTAACTCCTTGCTGCCATCTAATGGTCATTTCAATGGTGGCGCATTGGATTTCCAGAATTCCCAGCTATCACCCCAAGTCCTGCCAACTAGATATTCCAGGAATTGAAATTTTCCACCCATTTGGAGATCACTCATTTGGAAAACACAGCATAGGCCTTCTTGGACTTTCTCTAATTGCACAAAACATTGTTCTAGTTTATGGTCAGCCGTGGTTTGGAGGCTTCTGAGCCAACCAACCACCTTATGAGATGACCAAACTAAGCTCATTACAGAAAGAGGACTAGCGAATCCGCTTTCATTGTTGACATCTGTGGATCTGTCTATTGATGTTATTCAGTGTTTAAGTTTGCAGAATCATAGGGTTGGAAGGGACCTTGGAGATATCTTCTAGTCCAACCTTCTGTCCAGGGTAGGAATACCACTACCCTTGATCCAAAAGGATTAGGCTGTTTGTGTTTCAGTGTGTAGGGGGAACCCAGTCCTTGTCTCAAAATGTTATAACCTTCTGTCCAGGGTAGGAATACCACTACCCTTGATCCAAAAGGATTAGGCTGTTTGTGTTTCAGTGTGTAGGGGGAACCCAGTCCTTGTCTCAAAATGTTATCTCCCTGCGCCATCAAGTTAAACTTTAAGATGGTTTGTCTATTTGGAGATTTGAAGTTATGTGAACCTAATCCTAGGCAAGAGTTAATCCAGGTTTAAATTTAGCATATTCTCTGAAGCTAGGCATTGTCTTCTCTTTCTCCTAACACTCCTTCATGGTCTCTTTAGTTTTTGAGAAACTTCATCTGCCTGGCATATTTTTCTTGGTTTTGTTCTTCCATGCAGTGTTCACCCAACAGAGCTTAAACTAACCAAATTTAAGCAACACACAAGAAGATTGCTCTGTCCAGCCTTTGTCATTGCACTGGTGATGGTGGTGATGTTTGGCTCAACACATGGTACAAACCCAGCTGGTTTGCTGAGTTCCTGGTTCAGTGTAGAGTGTGAACCCTCCAAATGGGTTGATTTGGTAACCAGGATAAGTTTATTGTGCAAACAGCCAATACCTTGATGCTTCATGAGCCTGAAACCAGTTTATTTCCTTCTCTGTTGAATAAGTTTTGGAATTCTCTTTCCCCTTCTCTCTTTCTTTAAAAAAAAGACTCTGTGATCTTTGTATTTTTGATGAGCAATGCAGCCAAGACTCTTTTTTTATTCTCTTTCCTGCTTGTGTCAGATTGTTGTCATTTTTCACATGCCTTCAGTTTCCAATAAATGTGAGCAGTCTGCAGAAAAAGGGAGCCCATAATTTATAGAAATAAAATAGCAGTTAAGGTGTTGGGGAGACTGAATTCTAGCTCACCCTTAGCTACAGAACCTTACTGGGTTTTTATCTTAGTGCTGCCTGCCTCACAGGGCTGGCATTGACAGTGGGGGGAAAAATGGAACAGATAAGTAAATAAAACTCAAAGAAAATGCAAACAGAGCCAGAAGACAACCAGCAAGCTAAAGGAAACTACGTAAAACCTGTAAAAAAATTAAAAATAATATCTAAAAAGAGGTAAAATTGGGTACGGCAGGGAGCCCTCAGCTCAGTCCCCCCCCCTCCATTTTTAAAAAGCTTTCTAAAAGGCATTGTTGAAATAAAGATGATGTGAGAGGCAGGTGCTTTGCTTTTCAGCATGTCAGTGTCCCATTGATTTTTTTTTTAATTAAAGGAATCTTTTAAAAAGTTAAAGACAGAAAGAAGAGGATGCTGAGAAATGCCAAGGAAGGCTTTCCTGCACACCTAGGACAACTGTGTGAATCCATCCTTAGATTCTGGTGTCTCCAATAAAGAACAATAAACCTCTAGATCTCTAGCCAGAATAACAACGTTACAGTAGCTAGAACTGCAATTGTGGGTACTGATTTTCCTCCATCTCCTTTTCCTTCTCTCCCCAGACAAACCAACAGCAAAAATTGAACCAAAACCAGAACATCCACAGGAAGGGGACAATTTAGAACTGCATTGCAAAGGACAAGGGAATCCAGTGTAAGTCTCCTTTCCTCCCTTGAAATACAGTTTTTCTCCAGCTTCTAGCCTCCCTCTTCTTCCAGTTTTGCTGCTGCTGTTCTTGGAGAAGACTCAGCTAAAACAAGAGTTGAGTAGTGACTTTTCATGGTCCCCCCCCTTAGCTTCTCCTTCTACAGCGAACGTACAGGATTCTGACGCATTGGTTTTGGTTTTCATTTGGACACCTGTCACATCTCCCCAGTTTGGGGATTTCCTTGCTGGAATCTATCTGAGATTGGAGTTCAAAATTAGAAGTTTAGCACATAAGATC